ACTGATATTTTGTTCCAAAAGCATGGTCATATGAAAGTGGAAGTCTACACAAACGCAGATGGGGCTAGTGTGGTTGATTACAGGAAGTCCACTAGTGGATATCACACCTTTGTTGGTGGAAACTTAGTCACTTGGAGAAACAAAAAACAAAGTACAGTGGCCAGATCTAGTGCTAAGGCTGAATATATTGCTATGGCTCATGGGGTTGCAAAAGTGATTTGGGTAAAAAAATTGATTGGTGAATTGGGTTTATTTGTTGACAACCCAGTGTCCCTTTACTATGGCAACGAGGCAGTCATAATATCACTGCCAACCCAATTCTTCATGAAGGACCAAGCATATTGATGGTGACAAGCACATGAGAGAAAAACTTGAGAAGGGTGAAGTGTGTACCCCTTACATCAGTTCCAAGGAACATCTAGTAGATGTCCTTACAAAAGGTCTACACTATTTGCGGCATAATGAGTTGTGTGACAAGTTGGGCATGATTGACATACATGCTCCAACTCGAGGGATAGTGTTGAAATGTGTTATGTATAGTTGCAGGGGTATTTTTTGTAATTTTCCTACTTTTTATTGTATGCTGTCACTCTAAGTATAAATACTAACTTATGTGCCGCCAGCCATAGGACATTTGGAATAGAACTCTTTTCTCCTCTTCTCTCCTTTCTCTTCTCCTTCTTTCTTCTTCCTTTTCTGCTTTATTTTTTCTTTCTTCTTGTTGGACTAGTCTACAGGCTAGATGACATTATCCTACTCTGATACCATTTGAAGGTGCAAGACTGCACTTTCTAGGATCTTAAAAAGAAAATAGATAAAGATGCATATACAATTGGGCTGATAGTATCATTATATCATTCAAACACAAAAAAACATAAGATGGGAGACATTTTTCTTAGAGATGTATGGCCCAAACAGGGCTCGTACAGAGCTCCTCGTAGCTCACTTAGGAAATTCAAAACCTTTTACTTACACTTTTCTTTGGTTTTCCGTCTGAGTTGACTAACCTTGCCTTCTCTTTTCTTCTTACACGTCTCCTCCTTTGTGCCTTTTCTTTTTTTCTGTTCTATTTTTTTTTGATAAATGAGAGAAGTTTTATTAATTCAGATAAGAGAATACAATCAGCCTAGGAAGAGGCACAAGCCTCCCCCGAGGACTGAATCATATACACTAAACAAGCCCAAGCCTGAAACACAAATTACAAAGTAGCCCAAAACAGATCTCTCCTTGACACCCCTTGTTTGGCCAGAGAATCAGCCATTGCATTTGCTGATCTGTTGACCCACTGAAATCTGACAGTCATATTTCTTGTCATCCATTTAACTTTCTTTAACAGATCCCTATAGCCCCAACAAGCTGTATCTGGGCTATTCAGCCAGCCCACTACTACTTTGGAATCCCCTTCTACTAACAAATTGTTCACTCCAATTTGACTAGCCATCTCTATACCTTGTACCGCTGTAGTAGCTCTGCCCTTACAGAATCACCTTCACCCACTGGTCCTGATAAAAGAGACAACATATTGCTGTCTTTGTCTCTCAGAATCCCACCAATTCCAGATTCTCTAAACATTTTTCACACACTTAGCCCCTTTTATAGACACTTAAGACTCTTAGACTACTTACATAACTGGTTGCTCCAAATACTGCTGAAATGAAGTAAGGAAATACTCTTTGCCATTGTTTGAACAGAGAATTTTAATTGGAACACCAAATTGTGTACGTATCTCAGCATGAAATTTTTTGGAAAATGGAGAATAATTCACGCCTTTTTTTCATTAAATAAATCCATGTCATTCTTGAACATTCATCAACAAAAATAACAAAATACTTGTAACCATTATAAGACTAAATTCTAATCGGACCCCAAGCATCTGAATGGACTAAAGGAAACCTGATGGTGTTTCCCATATTGACACGACTCACACTACAAAGAAGACAAACGACTCAATGACAGAACAAGTAGCTTAAGAGCTTTAAGAGATGGGTGGCCAAGTCTACAATGCCACTAGAGAGGAGTCAAAGAAGTCTGAAGTGCAACTGTAGATCCACCACCGTCAAGATAATACAACCCACCAGCTTCATGCCCTCCATCAATCTTCTTCCCTGTCTTGAGATCCTGAAAAACACAAGAGGAAGGGTAAAAAGTGATAAAACAATTGAGAGACTTGGTTAGTTTACTAACAGACATAAGATTAAATGGAAACATGGGTACATATAAAACACAAGACAAGGAAAGAGATGCAGTGTCAGCATTACCAACACCACAAATGGGGGAAGTAGAACCATTGGCTAGGGTAACATTATGTGATGTGGAAGTCTGATAAAGGGAGGAAAACATACCTGGAGTCCCAGTCATGTGATCAGAGGTTCCAAAATCAATTATCCAGGGGGAAGGTTTTGATGCCAGGTAATCCATACCTGAATGGGAAAGGGTGGCAATATTCTATTATGAAGTAGCCTGAAGGAATCTCTCGTACTCATCTCTTGGGACACTCATCATCTCCTTCCCGGAAGTAGTTGTGGATGTAGAAGGTGTTGGATCAACCGGCTGATTATCATTGACTTCACTGCCACCAACAACGACATGATTAGCCCAATGTGGAGGGTAGTCCATGTAGATCATAACAGAAATTAATTGTCCGTCCTTTCCACAGTGTGTATATTTCCTAGTAGTTCTTCCTCTTCCTCTACCACGGATTCCCCCTGAATCATGACCGCCACCAGTACCATGATTACGACCAAACACGGGGTTACCACGACCCCCTCAAACTGCACGACCACCTCCTCTGTTTCCATAAGCTCTTCCTCGTGCTCCAATAAATGCTGATCTATCAGAAGGTATGGTACTCTCTATAGGTCCAAGAGAGATCCTACGAAGACAGGCAAACACTTCCTCTAGAGTGGGAAGGGCAGATCCACCCAATATCTGTGCTTTGACAGGTTCATACTCTGAGTTCAGCCCCACTAAGAACCGGGTAACATCAAGTTGCTCCCTTTGTTGTTGTTGAATTTTGACATCTAGAGTTAAGGGATGATAGACATTAAGTTCGTTCAGTACTGGCATAATACTCTTCAAGGGTCTGATTTCCCTGTTGCAAACTGAAGTACTCTTGATAAAGCTGATAAGCACTCGTAGTATTGTCTTGGCCAGAATAGAGTTTCTTAGCGTGCTCCCATATCTCCTTTGTTGTGTCTAAGAACATAAAGTTAACATTGATTTTGGGCTCCATACTGTTCTACAACCATGTCATGATTTGGGCATCCTCCTGCTCCCAATCACTAAAACCCGGAGATTCAGCTGTAGGTTTCTCCTCCTGCACAAGTTTTACTTTCTTCTTAGCCTTAAGAAACACTTCCACTGGCTTAGCCCATGGCACATAGTTTTCACCGTTGAGTTTAATGGATGTCATCTGCACATTTAAAAATCTGAGGAAATGATCACACTCGATTTTTGGTCATCACTGACATCTCCCATTGATGCCATCAAGGTTTCAATTCAGGAAACTGGTTCTGCCCTTCCAGAAAAAAATAATTATCAGTCCAGACACGTCTACTATTGTTCTTTGAGTACTACACCAATTCACTCACCACCATACAAGTGTACAACACCTCCTCATCCAACCCCCATGATACTGCCTAAGCACACATTCGGCCACTTCCATTAGCATAAAATAAATATGACTTCTAATAACACCACAACCACCATGTGAAAAAAAACTCCCTCTTGAAACTGCTCAGTAGAGGGTTCAAACCACCACAAACACAACCACACAACCACACGACCACTAAGGCTGTCACACATGGTGACAGCAGTCCAGAAGTGCTGGACTCCTCTCTCACCTGTAATCCAGACCACTGTAACCCTAGGAGACCTGAATAAGTTACCACAGCCCTCTGTAAATTTCCGCAGCCTTCTCTGACCCTTAATCCGGGTCGCGCAGCCTAGAAAAAAAATAAAAGGAAAGAAGGGGAGAAGAAGAACTGATCATAGCACCAAGAACTTGAAGCGGTAGTCTTCTTCTCTCCTGTTTAGCACTCTGATACCATGTGTTGATAGTTCAGTTGAACCAGGTTCAGAAATATAGAAAAGAGAAAGAGAGGAAGAAGAAGAGAAGAAGAAGAAGTATCGATAAAAGTCAAAGAGACCCTCCCAGCCGACCATATATATATATATATTTGTCAAAGAAAAGTACAATGTTACAATGTCTAATATGCCCCTAGTTAAGTATGGGACATGTAACTTAACATAGTACCAAACAGACAAAACACATCTTAACTCATGATGAAAAGAAAGAAATATCCTTAGCCGACTCTAACACATTTGAAGATGCAAGACTGCACTTTCCAGGATCTTAAAAAGAAAATAGATAAAGATGCATATGTGATTGGGCTAACAATATCATTATATCATTCAAACACAAAAAAACATAAGATGGGAGACATTTTTCTTAGAGATGTATGGCCCAAACAGGGCTTGTTCAGAGCTCCTTGTAGCTCACTTAGGAAATAATCAAAACCTTTTACTTACACTTTTCTTTGGTTTTCCGTTTGAGTTGACTGTTGGCTAACCTTGCCTTCTCTTTTCTTCTTACTCGTCTCCTCCTTTGTGCCTTTCTTTTCTTTCTTTTTTTTTCTATTATATTCTCTCTAAACATTTTTCACACTTAGCCCCTTTTTATAGACACTTAAGACTCTTAGACTACTTACATAACTGATTGACTCTTAGACTTTTTTTTTTTCTTTGGATCAATATTGACTCTTAGACTTTAGCCCCACTAACTAGACTCTTTATACCCTTAATAGTCACAACTATTTTACTTGCAACTCACTCAACCTCAAACTTTTGGCTTTCCATCTACAAACTGAAATTCGTTTAGTGATTTTTCAAATTAACTCCAACAATACTGTTAACATGTTGCAATTGTATAAATATATACTTTTTTTTGCTCTAGTCAGCATGCGGTTCTAATGATTGCAATTACAATTTACACATCATAGGTGATGTCTGAACTTCAGAACCCAATCCTTGTGGAGTTGGGAGGCCTGATATCTGGAAAGAGAGGTATGATATGTGAAAGTGTTCATTCAGAGTTCAAGGAGCTTGTGTCAATGTGTGGAGGACATAATGAGAAGTTAAGAGCCGAGTATTTGCTAAAATGCCTCTTGTAAGTCTGCTTGTAAGATTCATCTTTCATTTTATTTTATTTTACAATAACAATTTTTAGAGTGATGGTTTGAAAGCAAATTTAATGTAAGCCTGATTAACCTCTCTGCATATTCAATTTGAGAAACATTGGCTGGAGAATTATCTAATTACTCTGCTTGAGGCATACCTAGGCAAGGTAGTAGGAAAACAGGTCCAGGCATACTTTGGAGGTACAGGAACATGAGCCATACACCTCTAGTGTAGAGGGTCATAGAAAGGCATATGCTTCTGCACTTTATTAAGCCAAACACTTGTAAAAGATTATAAATATTGGTCATTTGGTTGGCCATCATATTAACATGCTCCTCATTATATATTAGCTTAACATGGAGGGAAAACTCTCCTTATTTTTTATCACAGGAAAAACCTTCCTTGACCATCAACAATTTGTCCTTTGAATTTGACAGTGACATTAGTTTCCTAATTTTTTTTTTCTATTATTTATAATTATTTACTAATGAAAAAAGATATATGTTTGGGAGGCTTACATCCCTTGTGCTATTGACCTTCTGGTTTATGCCTTGGCCTCAGGATAGTGAAATGCCTTGTGTCATGCTCCACATTTTGAAAAATTAATTTATATATATGTTAGAGAAAAACAAAATAAAAATGGAAATCCATGGTGATTTGGATTAGGGTTGCAAACAAATCAAATTGGACTGGATGTACCTAGATCCAAATTTGATTTGTTAGTATTTGGATTTGAATCGGATTTATATCAGATTTGGATTGCACTCGGATATTTATTAACATTAATAAGTTAAACTAAAAATAATCAAAATATAATAATAATAAAATGAACTTAAAATGACCTTGATATTATATATCATGAACAAATAAATTGAAAATAACTAGTATGGAACTTGAATATATGATTTTTTAGTAAATATACAGCATTTAAACTATTTTTACTAATAGATACAATATGAATTTTAAGTATATAGGCATATATTTAAATTGAATTGTTGGATAGGGGTGGATCCATATTAGGTCCAATTTTAAATGGATCAAATTCAGGTCACCCTTAAAATGGATCGAATTTGGCCCCCCTCCCTCGTGTTTTAGTTTTAAAGAAAAGAAAAAACTATTTGTTTTAATTTACTTGACCATTTTGCATCTTTTATAACAAATGGATCATGTTTCTTTGTGCTAACAACTGTCAAACTGAACAGGATTGTGCCTGATAGTCCTTCAGAACGTGTAATGAGCCTCCCAACCACCAGAAAGATCGCACTGAAGAACAAGGTCATTTTTGGTACAGGGGATTATTGGCATGCACCAACTCTGACGGCAAATATGGGATTTGTGAGAGCCATTTCACAGACAGGCATGTCTCTGTCAACAATAGAGCATAGACCACGTGCATTAACTGGGGACTAGAGATGGTGTAAAGCATTTACTGAAAGCCATTGAAAGTGTTGGTGCGAGTTGGTAGAAAAGCTTTAGGCTAGGAGGACGGTGGGAAAGTTCTCTTTTCATGGGAGCTGTTGGCATAAGTATGTAGTATGCCTAGTGAAGAATGCTTTTTTTGCACAAGACTCATGAGAGGCAATTCTGCTGATTCCAGAAAAGGATGGCATCATGATATACATTGGCTGGTGGTGATTCAAGATACGAAGAAAAGAGCATACAAGATCATCTCAAGCACCTGAAGAAGCTGTATGCTATGCCATACATTTTAAAACACATTGAGATCCACTACTCGGTACATCACCTTGGCCAACAACTTGGGGAGGATGGAGCGGCTAGACCTTGCAAATAATTCATTGTATGGGCTGATTCTGCAAGTAGGTTTCAAGTGTAGGGAATTGATTAAAGAGAGACTTGATGCCAGGAGCAAATGTATTCTAGACCTTCCCTACCTCAGAATTCAGAAATCAATGGATATGTGTGCCTTCTTTTTGGCTCAACGGGGAAACACAACAGAGGTTACCTCTCAGCATTAGTCTTGTCCCAAGAAGGAGAAATTAATTTTTGGGTTATTACTTATTACTCAAACTCCCCCTTCACTTCTCATTTCTCTAGTTACCATGATTTTTCAAAACCTCCTGAGACCCTTCCTGTAAGAGATCCACCATTAGGAGATGATTATTACCATCCTTTACTTTGGACTTTGCCATGAAAGAAAATTATGCGATGATGAAATTTATTATACTACCCCTCCATTTGAGATTTGGGGGGCTTCATCTCTTTGGAAAATTATCTGGCGAGTCTTCGGAGGTTTTTGAAAGCCGGTGCAAGTTTAAAAGCACTGGGGGAAAGTGACGGCCAGTAGTTTTAGATAACAACCCTTAATTTTTACTTCGATATTCTTTGGAAATGGTTGCCCCTGAGCTGTCACACGAGGTTGGGAAAGTTATTGACATGTAATTGGATTTGCTCTAAGATTTGCAGCATCGAGTATACAACAGATCTCAATTATTCATTAGTTGGGATCTCTGATAACCAATATGTTGTGATTTGCAGTAGATTTGCAGCATTGAAGCAGATCCCAGTTCATTAGCATTTCGCCACCTGATGAAAGGTACAAGAAATTTGCTTTCTTGTACTATTGTTCTCAGATATCTTTTTCTTTTTTTCTTTTTTTTTTTTTCTAAAGATAAGAGAAATTAGACGCACCAACAACGACGCCAAAAACGCAAGCCAGCACTACCCTCCCAAAAGTATCTGAACAATTGAAGTAGGAGGATTATCAAAATACATAGTTCAACGTACCGACATTGATCCAGAGGTCCAAAGTAGCTTGGAATAGACCTTCCACTTGACATTTAGGAGTTAGGACATTTTCGATTGTGTAATGCCATAATAGTAGAAAGAGAATTCGATTCAACAATAATATGCTGAAATTCTTAAACTCTAGCCTGGCGCATCCTTCATACACTGCTCAAAGCTTTAGTCATGTCATTCGATGTGGGTCACGATTTTGAGAGAATTGGTCACGAAATAGACCTGCTGCAAAGCTTTCCCTAGCCTTGCAAAGGAGCCACAAGTTATATCTAAAAAATTTGTGACCAATTAAACAATATCATAAACGTGATAACCAATTGGGTGTATTTATCAAAATTCATGGGTGGGTTTTGATTGGTCAAAGATCTTCTAGTGCCATGTCTTTCCATATCATAGATTTTTCTGTATGCATAATATATATATATATATATATATATANGTGCGTACTTCGATTTTGGGTGGTTGAGGCCCATATGTATGTGGGTGACTGTAGGTCTCGCGAAACGCTCCAGGATCTTCGCCCTAAGTTGTTGGGATCTGTTACTGGAAGGCGGGGATTCCGCTAACTGACGAGAGTTACTACTTCCTTTCGATTTGGACAGGATAGAATTAATACCTACGGTTACGCGATGTGTTGCCGAGAGGCTCGAAGATAGTTGTTAGTCTGCTAGATAGCTGACCTGATCGAATCCATGTGTCCGTTGCTTACTAGGTCGGGCCAAATCACCCCTCATCAGTATGGTTTGCACTTTGAAGCAATAGTTGCAGTTTTAGCATCTTCCTTACTCCATTATCTTTCAGAGTTGGAAAAACAAGAATGATATAGGGCCATTACTTTTAAGTCAATAAAAACGCAAATTGATTGATATGAACTCTCAAATTGTGCTTGTACTTTACTGCTTTAGTCTATTTAGTCTGTAGAAGAGAAGAAACTATTTATGGCGGGCGTAACCTCAGGCAGAGCGTACAGAGGAACTTACAGAGTTTGTGTTCCACATATTTCTTTCCTTCCTCAACGTTCTTGTAATCAAGTGTGGGTGAGTATGGATTCAACTAGTTAGCCATTGAGTGAGACATCTTTTTTTGTGTTTACTCAACCTAGGAGAATAAAACAAATGCAAAGAGAAATAAGGTAGTATGGGTGTGGCAAAGGAAACGAGGATGTAGGTTTGTTCTCTCGGCAACAGAGTTCAAGAGGAAGCTTGCAGTCATTGACGGCATTTATAATGGTGGAGAGACGGCAAGCGAGCTTTTTCTTTTTGGGCTTGGACAAGCCAACGAGGAAGTGGTTGGGTTTTCCAGCTGGTTCGATGAGGAAGAAACATATCTAGATTTGAGTTTGACTTGGCCAATGAGAAGGAATAACGCAAAGACCTGGCCTGATCTTGGTAGAAGCGATGGTGCCTGTGCTGTTTTCGCATAGGTGGTTAGTGACACTTTCCATTTGGGTCAGTAATAAAGGGTAAAATTGGTATTTAAAAAAATTATGCATCAGTTAAGGTTTTCTGTCTAGGTCAATGATGGAATGGAGGTTTTGTTAAGTTTTTCAAAAATTTAGGGGAGTTATTTGTTACAATGAAACTATAGGGGAGGTTTTTATGATTGAGGCTTTTGTATTTTACCCGTTATAATAAATTAATATCAATCAGTTGTCAAATTTATTTCACTAGTGATTTTAACAAGTTCATTATGAGAAACCCTAGAATGGAAATTTGATATTTCATCAGGGATAAAAGTGTCCAAAAAAATTATAACCACACCTCTAACCACATTTAGTGGTGGGGTGATGGAGAAAATAAAAAAATTTCAGAATTAGGAAGTTAGTTCAGATGGCATTATCGAACAATCCCTAGCTTACCTGAACCGCTGAACCTTTGTTTCGGTAGAAAACCTAACTGAACCTAGGCCCTTTGAGAGGGCTGAGCTGAAGATTCAACTAACTTATTTCAGCTTAATCCGAATTAACTCACAGAGACTGCATAGTATGCTTTTTTTGGTAGGTGTTTGGAATTAATGCTGTTTCTTAAAAAATGGTTTCACATCATTGTCATGCCTGAAATTTGATTTTTCAGACAACGCCTAATGTTTGGTTATATTTATGTGTTGTTGGGAAAAATGTTTTATCATACCATATATTAGAAATTGAAAAATGTGTGACGTGACATTGAAAAATACCTATGAAGCAATAATAACAATGGTACTAAATAGAAAAAACAGAAAAGTAACATACCAAACAGCTGATTTGGAATTTCCAGCTTTTTGACTTGTCTGCCAAACAAAGCTTATAAGCTGTTTGTGTATAACCCATGAGATAAGCCCTGCAACGCAACGGGCATAAAATATTCGGGCGCTTAAACGGTTTAACCTGCTTTGTAAACCCGATTCATCCATCCACCGATCTGAAAATGGTGTAAGGTAGGGGTGATCATTTCAGCCCGGTCCGGAAATTCCGAACTTGGGCCTGGGTTTTGTGTTCAGCTCTGGCCTGGGCCCAGGCTCACATCAGGCCCGCAAATTTTAGGGCTGGGCTTGGGCTTAATACTTCAAGTCCGGCCTAGGCCCAGCCCGGTCCAGCCCACATATATTTAAACTTACACATTTTGTGTATAATATATATATATATATATATATATATATATATATATATATTTATATATTTGTTTATTATATATATTATAAATATCAAAAAATTTAAGAATCAAAGCTATCGTAAACCGAACTGATCAATAGGTTAGTCGATTGGTTTTGATTTGGTTTCAATTCATAGTTTTTCAAAAACTAGTGATACTGGGTTTGGTTTGAAAAATAGGTCGATGGCTCAGTAACCAAACCATGAACACCTCTATAGCCACATGCTAAAATGTTAAATAGTGTATGCCCTTAGTTCCAATCAAATTTATGTATATTGAGCTTTATGAACAAATAAAGTTAGCTCATTATTGTTTTATGTTTTGATTGGTGTGTTTACATGAATTACTTCTTAAATTAGACATCTATGAGATTTATGCTAATTTAAAAAGTTCTAAGCCACTGGATAAGTTTGAGGAATTTATCCTAACAAAGCTAATACTGATGTACTACTGAAATGGTGGAGCAACTTGTCTTAATTGTTGGGGTTGGACCCTAAGTATAATTAGTGGGTGTTTGTAAGAAACACTGGATATGGGTCAATTTCCAATTATGCCTTAGATCTTGGAAACAAGTGGACAAAAATGGAAAATTGCACTTAACCCCATACTTGATAAAGATATTATACTAGGCTTTGAACTATGATACTTTTGATATGTCAACTAGTGAGATCCTCTTAGGGTTAAATACCTAGGTACCATGGAGCAATTCAGAACATTACTTAAGTGGGTGATCATTGTAATAGGAATAGAGACTTTGTGAGACAAAGAGAATATTGGGGTTAATACTTTTTGTGATAAAAACTTGAAACTATCAGTTTTGGATTTCAATTGTTTTTGAAATCTCTTTAAAAAGTGTATTTATATTTATGATATATTATTTATGAAAAATATTTGTAAAAATTGTTAATCATAGGATCCATTAGAGTAGAGGGTGTGACACTGCATTTAGTCGTCAAGGAAAAGATCATTCTCTATGAGTAGTGTTTGATCATTTAGGGCTAAGAGGTTGAGAGCAAAAGACCATTACAAGGATGAAACCTAACGGGCTTTATCTTATGTCAATCCATTATCTTTGGGATTCTTAGGGTGGATGAAACCAAGGATCACTTAGACTCAAGCGTTGGGGTCATACTTAGCCCAATTCGATTAAGTTAGGGGTTCACTAACTTTGTTCAATGAAATTAGCACATGTGTTACTGACATGGGGTGAATCCATATGGATTGATATAAGACCTTTGTGGGTCTTATGGCATACATTATTCAAGCCCAATAAGGCCTGGAAGAGTGATGTTAATAAACCACTTAAGTAATGGGCCTTAGCCCATTAACTAGTAAGACTAGTTAGACTAGTTATCATGTGCAATGAATTGAATATGGGTATGGATCTCCATATTACCTAATGTAATTAGAGACCTAACCAAATCAGATTTGGATAGTCCTAATTACATTAGGATTGAGGTCTATATATAGGACACAAGAGGGAGAGTTCGACCACTACTTGTCTTGCACTCTTTCTTTTTTCTCTTGTTACCCATAAACCCTAGTTCAAACCAGCTTTGATAGTCATTGTTTCTGATGTTTTTTCTACTATAATACACTAGAATTGAAGGCGTGAACCACCACTCTAGGAGTTGGAATTTGTAGTTTCCGTATTAGGTATGCTCATGTTTAATTTGTACATCAAATCTAGTTCAAGCCAATGCTAGATCAACCCTAGAAGAATCTGACTCTCCAAATTCGACTGGAAAAAATTTTGAAATCCGTCTATTGAACCCTACCTGGTTCAGCCAGCATACTAATGTTTACAGTTCGTTCAATAGTAGTATCAGAGCATTAGGTCCGGTTCTAGTAGAATATTTGATTTTTTTTATCAATTTGACTAAAACTAGTTTAGCCAATTTGACCTATAATTGTTTATATTAAGAATTAAGTTCTCAGTCTCGGGGAAATGATTTGGATATTGAATCTTTATGTTTTTTTTTTGCAAATATTTATAATATTTTCATGGTGGAGTCTTGAATTTATTGGTTGATGTCTGGTGGAGATTGAATTCTTTATTGTTTGCAAGATTAATTCACATGGTGCCATTTCAACTATTGCATGAAATTTGTAATTATATAATTACAAAAATCCACTATTGAACACATTTTTATATTACCTTTATGATTAATGATGATAATTAAGTGCTAAACCAATTTAGATTACTGATTTTTTTCACTTTCAAGTAAATCTTTTTCCTAAAACAAGCTTTTAATTAAAAAAATCCGGGACATCAATGGGTAACCTCTCTCCATTGGGGATGGAGGTTCGTTTTCCTCCCCCACAAAGATCGAGGACAAGGTGGGGAGTATGGTTAAGTTAATTTATATATTGATTTAGTTTAAATTAGTAGTGTTTGGAGAAAAAAAAGCTTTGATACTAATAAAGTTTAGCCCTATTTTTTTTGGTATTCGTTTAGCCCTATTTATTAGTAAATGTATTATCTTAGAACGATTGTTACTATATAGAATATGTTTCTATAATAATAAATTAATTAATAAACTAACTTAGATTAATAAATATCTATTGAACTATTTTATTAGGTAAAGTACATTTTTCCATGTTAATAATAAAATATTTGCATTTCTTTTTAATCCTTTATGTTGTCATATTATATATCAATATTGCTATATAAGGTTTAAAATTTCGCAAAATATTGGCCAATATACTGTTTCAAGTACGTATTGGGCCTATCAGAATTTAATTTCCCCCTCTTTCTATTTTTTGAATTCAAATTTAAATTTAATTTATCTCTTCTCTCTCTTATTTATATCACTTCAAATGCTCATTTGAGTTACCTCTAATTGAGGCATTTAAGACATCATTAAATGCTAATTAAGTCAAATAACTTGTTTCAAACCCTAGTAATCTATTTACAATAACAACTAATTAACCAATATGCTAACCTTAATTGCTTATCTTAACGGCATGCATTTTTATTCTTAAAATAATTTTTCTTCTCTTGGTGTACGTTTCTCAATAAATGCTAAAATTTGATTATTAAAACTTATATAATAATAAGGTTAATACAAATTATATTTATTTTGTTAAAAAATAAGGTATATATTAACTTATATATAATAAATATTAGTATGTATAAACACAACATTTTAAGTTCTTCTATTATTTTTCAATGGTTACACATATAAATCATTAAAGTATGATTTTTAATTTAAATAAATTAGTTATAATCACATAAAACTCATTTTTATTATTGTTAATATATTTTACTAGTATTTTTTTTAAATTTTTAATATATTATACATATCTTAATTTTTTATTTGTATCTATACATTTCCAAAATGTATCTCGATACATCTTTTAAAATTACCATTCTAATATTTTGAAATCTGAGGCTAACATCTCACCTAACAATTATTTTTGTTTTGTTTTAAGAAATAAAATCATACATGTCAGCAAATACTCCCTTCTGTCTCTCAAATCCAATACAAGTAGATTATGCAAATGCATTGTATGATAAAGGTGAATTGGGTTATGCCCTGACAGGGTGACACCCAGCTTCATTCAATCCAATTATATGCTTCTATTTTATTTTATTTTTTGATAAATAATTATATGCCTATATTTAGAGTCCGTCCGTTTGGTTCACAGACAACAGATCCAACTCGAAATCAATTGCAATTGTTGTTGTTTGCTTCATTTGGTTAGGCCGCATTCTGACTGTGTGGACAGACTGCATCTTAAAATCATTCCAGCTGATTGAAAAGAGAATATTAAGCCCATTAAAAATGCGAAAGTAAAAAGAATATTAAGCCCAGAAATCGCCTTTTTTATTTTAATTAAGTTTTAAGGGAACAACTGACCCGTTAATGGCGATTTCTAAAAAGAATGTCGGTTCACATCCAGAGAGAATAGAACCTTTGTGTATAACCCCTTTTCAACCTCTGTTAAGCTTCTTCTCCGCTCTTAGTTTCTCCTTCTTGCGTTTGGTATCTGTCACTCTTTCTCTCTCTATCTCTTGGATTTTTTATTTTTCTCTTTGTTTTTTCAAGAGCTTGAAGCTGAGCTCATTTATGGAAGAAAGAGGCAGGGTTTCGGATTTACCGGCCTGCAAAATCCCTAATTTACTTTCCTTCTCAGTCATTTTACTGCTTCTGAGCTTCAACTTCGTAGCAGCAGCTCAAGAACCAGAGCTCGATTTACAGGTTGAAGACAGAGATTCTCTTCTCAGGTTCAGATCCTCCATTAACGACCCAAAGCAAAGTTTGGCGAGGTGGGTTGGGTTCAAATGTAGCAACTGGACCGGAATCGCCTGCGAAAACCGTACTGGGAGAGTCGTTTCCATCAATCTTAGATCATTCAATCTCTCCGGACTGATCGATTCCAGTTTGTGTCAACTTTCCATGCTCGAAACCCTAATTCTGTCTCACAACAACTTCTCCGGTTCTATTCCTGCCTGTTTTGGGAATCTTCAAGGTCTAAAAACCCTAAATCTTGGCAACAATGCGCTTCGAGGTGGTGTTCCTGATGAGCTCATGAAGCTTCGGCAACTTGAAGAATTGGTGCTGAGAGAAAATTATGATCTGGGAGGCCCCATTCCAGGTTGGATTGGGAATTTCTCTGATAAGCTTCGGAAGCTCGACTTGGGGATGAATTCGTTTCGAGGGGAGATTTCTGAGAACTTATTCTACCTTGAATCGCTGAAGTATTTGGATATCTCCAACAATCTGCTGTTCGGGCCCCTGCGTGATTTTCATCAAACCTTGGTTCATCTCAATCTCGCTTCAAACGGGTTCTCGGGGACAGTTCCTTGCTTCTTTTCTGCTGCTCAATCTCTCACAGTTCTCAATCTCGCTAACAACTCCATTGTGGGAGGAATCCCCACTTGTCTTTCTGCTATTAAAGCATTAACAGAGCTGAAATTGGCCTTCAATGGTCTTAAGTACGGAATTTCTCCGATGCTCATGTTTTCAGACAAGCTTCTCGTTTTGGACCTGAGTTACAACAATCTATCGGGTTCTCTGCCAACCAAAATTGCAGAAACAACAGAGAAATCAGGTCTTGTGCTTCTCGATCTTTCGAACAATCTATTCTCGGGTGAAATTCCGCTGGGTATTACTGAGCTTAAGAGCTTGCAAGGACTGTTTCTGTCTCACAACCTCCTTACGGGAGAAATTCCAGCAAGGATAGGAAACCTGACTTATCTTCAAGCGATTGATCTCTCTTACAATGAATTATCAGGTTCAATTCCTCTCAACATTGTTGGGTGCTTTCAGTTACTCGAACTGAAGCTCAATAACAACAATCTCTCCGGTGAAATTCAACCAGAGCTCGACGCATTAGACAGTCTGAAGATATTTGATATCAGCAACAACAAGATCTCCGGCGAGATTCCGCTCACATTAGCAGGTTGCAAGTCACTCGAGATTGTGGACCTCAGCTTCAACAATCTCACTGGCACATTAAACGATGCAATCCTTAAATGGTCTAACCTCAGGTTCCTCTCCCTTGCTCGAAACAACTTCAATGGTGTCCTGCCAAATTGGTTGTTTTCATTCGAATCAGTTCAATCAATTGATCTATCGGGCAACAATTTCTCCGGCTTTATACCAGATGGAAACTTCAACATCAGCTCATATTTCAACAATCGCCAAGTAAGCAGCGGCAGCAGCAGAACCTACGAGCTTGAAATTAAGGTTTCTGCAAATGCTGCAGGAGGAAACAATGAATTGGGTTTCAGTTACAATCTCTTATCTGCAGTCGGAATCGATTTATCCGCAAATTTCCTCCATGGCGAGATTCCAGTAGGTCTGTTTGGATTACAGGGTCTGGAGTACTTGAATCTATCATACAATTACCTTGTGGGTCAGATTCCGGGAAGCTTAGAGAAAATGTGGAGGTTAAAGACTTTGGATTTGTCCCATAATTCGATATCGGGACAGATTCCGGCGAGCATTTCAGGGCTTCGGGATCTGACATTTTTGAATCTGTCCTACAACTGCTTGTCTGGGTTTGTACCGAGGGAGCAAAGGTTTTGGAGGTTTCCGGGAGCATTTGCCGGAAACCCAGACTTATGTGTGGATCTGACCAGCCAAGGGTGTCAACGGGGGAATTTTCCTGTGGCATCAAGTAGGATGTTTGAGGGAGAAAGGGATGAGGGACTGATTTCTTTTACGGCTTTCTATGTAAGTGCTTTAGTTAGTTTTTATGTTGGTATTATTCTTCTGTGTTGCTCTGCTCGAGTAAGGAAATACATTCTCCAGCCCCTGAACCCGGAATATTTATAACATAGTTCTGTTATCAAGTGATTGCACTGTAAATATTCAGTTTCCATTGTGTTCTTTCTTTTTGAACTTTTGTTTTAAGTTGAGCATTGTGGTTTGTGGGTAACATGATCCCAGTCCCAAGTTTAACTTCAGCTTGCATGCATTCAGTTTGGATCTGCCACCAACGAAGCTTCTGACATTATCTATGTCTCCCATTCTCAGACATGATTGCCGTCTCATAGGTATGACCACATCAACGAGTAAGAGACATGTTTGAGATGTCATGTTGGAAGTTTTGTTGCTAACATCTTGTTATATGCAAATTTGAATCAAATGAAATGCCTTTTCCTTTTTCTTTTTTGGGTTCTAACCTCTTTTTTGTTGGCATGATGGGTCAGAAGATAAAACAACCAAAATCACTTATTGACTCTTCGGTGCGAAATGTATCGGTGACCTTGACAGTAAAACGGATATTCAGACTATCAGGAACAATTTCTTCTTGATTATATTCACTTCATTGTCGACTATGTAACAGTCATTAAAAATTGACGTTGGATGGTGAGGGGTTAGTACCTTGTCTTTGTGCATCAGCTGTGGTTGGTGGGGACATAAGGCACATGAGTGCCCAAAAACTAGCAAAAATACCCATAATGATGGGTGGGTCACTATTAACCATTGAAGAAAATAAAATACTTGGAGGAACAATTTCTTCAATATGAGACTCTTGTAAAGGGATGGGAGATCCATCATATGGATGGTCGAATCTTACAGAAAGTTTTGACGAAATTTCAAAAATTTCTTTTTCTTCCATTCGAGAATCGTATTTCCTTATTTAGAAAATTGCATTTTAAAGGTTCGTTCTTGAAACAAAACTGGACCAAATCTGAAACTAAAAGGAAAGTGAGGGATATATCTGATACGAAGTAAAAATGAACTCCTGACATGGGTATTCATGCCCAAAGATAATACCAAATTCGCCTCCACTGAAGATGATACAACGTATGTTGAAGCAGGATCAGCAAGAATCTGGGATTCTTCACCAAGAATCGAGCAAGGTGGTGTGAGCACGACTTTTGATTGTTTCTTCACCAAGAAACAATGACAAGAACATTTCTTGAACACTCCAATAGGTGGAGATCGAACTGGGATGGCACCAAGAGCTGAGGGGGAGAAAAGACTGCAGAAATGAATGAATTCTCTCTGTGGAATTTGCCCCCTATTTATAATCCTTTCAGGATCAACTTCCTAATCTGATTAGGAATGAGATTTTCTAATCTAAATCTTGTATTTAGATCTGGACTCTCAAGTTGATAAAGGCTACATTTTTCAACTGCTAATCACAATCAGATTATAAACCAAAATAACCCATTTTAATTAAACCACTTAAGCCCAGTTCAAAATGGTTCTTAGGCCCATTAAGTCATATTGCTCATTTAACCCATTATATATTAGCTAATTTGGTTCTCTTTGTATGGCTTGGGACCCTAGTATTGATCTACACATTAGTCACATGGGTTCAGCCCAACCTTTGTTACAAGGCCTGGCTGAATTCATCGTATGTCATAATAAACCCCTGAGTCTATCACCATATGCTCTTAAAGGGCCCAACATTTACACTAAATGGTCATTGGGTCGAGCCATTTTGTGAAAACCCAAGGACTGCGGGTAGATGCAAGATTAGCCAATCAGGTATTACCCTCAATGCCTTTACACTTAACCTCTCAGCACATAATGATCATACACTATTCGACTAGAGAGGGCATCTCCCTTGGTTGCAAAGTACAACGCTGCACTCTCTACTCACATGGATCCCGAGAATTAAAATCTTTTGCAAATATTTTGTGAAACCATAACATATAGGTATATCTCTATATATATATTTTGTAAAACAAATTTCAAACACATTTGAAATCCACTGCCAGTAGTTTAGGTTTCCATCAGAGAGAATGCAGTCCCCGGTCATTTGCTTTATCCGACAAAAGGGCTGATCCTGTCATTATGGTCACTCACTCAAGTGAATTCTCGGATTGCCCCAACATACCAAGGTTTGACCCGAAAAAGGATCTCACTGATTGGCATATCAAAGACAACCCAATCCGACACTTAGTGTAGTACCATAATCGAGTCTAGAGATCAGGTGTAACATTCCAAGCTCCAGGGCAATACTGGAATTTGATCTAATTCAGGGTTTCAAGCAAACCCACACTACATGTACCTTAGGTCTCACCCTAGCAGTTGAGACAAGCCACCCCAACCAACTTTGGTAGTACATCAGTGTTAGCCTTGGCAAAATAAATCTCCCCAGATCTATTCAACAACTGTGAAGATTCTAAATTAACACAAGTCTCATAAGTGTCCAGTTTAAGGGTATTACACAAAAACACACCATAATAACATGAATCAATTATGCACTTTATTAATTTACAATAAATGACAATAAGTACATCAATCTGATTGGAGCTAAGGGTATACACTATCTAACATCTTGAGTTCTAATTTCAATGGTCACCACAGAGACTAGACATGGATGAACCAACATGCACACTGGACACAAGCAAAGAACCATCGTGTTGATCATGCTAGAGAATTCTCAAGAGCAAGGTTCATCAATGTAGGTCATGTCACTATTGAACCATCTTATTCGAGCAACACTAATAGGCCGGAGGTTCCAAGGAACAACAAGAAAAACAATAGTGTGATAATTAACTACTTGGCAAAACCTCGGCTATTGCTGCTACTGATGGCAACAATGGCATCAATATTTTTGAGATCAAAGACTATGATGACCATGAAAAGAAAGATGGCTATTACAATGATAAAGATGAAGATATTGGAGATACGAAAATATCGATGGTAAGGAAGAGGAAAATGATGAAATGGAAGAAGATTGGAATGGTCAACATCCTCGTTTAGCAAAAGAGATCAATGGGGGGG